AAAAACCAGCTAACAAAGTTTTGGGGAAAAAAATTGAAACAAAAAAATGAGGGGGAATTAAGCTATATTTTAAAAGGATAATACATTAAGAAAATGAGAGGACACGCTAAAGTCTGGGAGAAAGGATTTGCAGGAGACATATCTGATAAAGCACTATCTGAAATATACAAAGAACTCTTTATGAGCAAGGCGATTAAAAAATAGGCAAAAGACCTCAACAGACACCTCAACAAAGCAAATATACAGATAGCAAATAGGCATAGGAAATGATGCTCAAGATTATACGTCATTAGGGAATAAAAACAATGAGACACCACTACACAACTATTAGAAAGACCAAAATCCAAAACACTGGCCAGGATGTGAAACAAATAGGAACTCTCATTCATTGCTGGTGGGAACGAATGAATGCAAAATGGGACAGCCACTTTGGAAGACAGTTTGTTAATTTCTTACAAACTAAACATACTCTTACCATACAATTCAGCAGTCATGACTCCTCGGTATTTAACTAAAGGAGCTGAAAACTTATGTCCACCCAAAACCCTGTACGTGGACACTTATAGGGGTTTTATTCATTATTGCCAAAACGTGGAAGCAACCAAGATATCCTTCAGTAGGTGAACGGATAAACTATAGTATATATAGACAATGGAATGTTATTTAGCACTGAAACAAAATGATCTGTCAAGCCATGACACAGAGAAAACAAAATGCATTACCACTAAGTGAAAGAAGTCAATCTGAAAATGCTACATAGCTGTGTAATTCCAGCTGTACGACATTCTGGAAATGGCAAAACTGTGGAGAGAGTGCAAACATCAAGTGATGGTTGTCACCTGGGATGGGACCAAGGGCAAAGTAAGGATGGATAAGAGGAGCATAAGGGATTTGTAGGGCAGTGAAGCTATTCTGCATAATAACATAATGGTGGATACATGGCATCCATCAAGAGTGAACCCTAATGTCAACTATTGACTTTGGATGACAATAATGTGTCAGTATAGGTTCATCCCCTGTAACAAACGTGTTTCTCTGGTGTAGAGTGTTAATAATGAAGGAGGTTGTGCGTTTTGGGGTGGCAGAAGATACGCAGGAACTCTACTTTCTGCCCGATTTTGTTAGCATCTAAAACTGCTCTAAAAAATGAACTGTTGTAAGTACCAGTGTTAAATTGTTTCAGGGGTAAGTTATTTCTCAATCAAACCTCATAGGCTACTTAGGGCACATCAGAGAATAAGGAAAGAAAAAAAAGCATTTCCGTTCTTTTAAAGACACTAACATTGTACTGTGCTGATACCAGAGTTGTACTTGAACTTCTATCAGAAGTTCAATTTGCATGTGTAGGGGCAGGGAATACATGGAAAATCTCTGTACCTTCCTTTTAATTTTGCTGTGAACCTAAAACTGCTCTAGAAAATAAAAAGTATAAATAAATTTTAAA